AAAAAAAAAATAGAAAAGAAAAAACGTGAAAAGGCTCCTTTGCTGCCCTCTGCCTGCCGAGGCTGCGGGGGAGCCCGGCCGCCTCCGAGGCCGAGGAAGGGCTGACATTGCCGGAGTGAAAAAAAAAGGACGAATCCGGGCCAGTTTGCACACCTGTGGTGCTTCCACAGAATCAGTTGTGTTGGAAAAGAACTCTGAGATCATCGAGCCCAACCTTTCCTGGCTCTGGATGCACTGAGTTACCCATTTTCCCACGTGTGGATGTGCTCCTGTTTACATTACTTGCAAACAACTTCAGTAGAAGGTAAAACTCCTTCCCGTCAGACTAAGCTGAAGGATGTCCCCAAGCCGAGAGGGTTTTGGGGTCTGCACTTTAAAACTTGAATTATTTAATGACACAACAGTACAAATAGCTAACACATGCAAGCCGCAGGAAAAAAAAAAGTGGAAAAAACAGGAGGGTAGAGCGAATATGCTGATAAATGCCTGTGATACACAAACACAGGCAGTAAATACCGTGTGGTTCATTAGATACGGGCTGGGGTGATCCTGCCCTGCAGTTAAAGGCCTCTCACTTCCTCTGCCTTCTCCAGGTTGGTGCTTTCTACCAGCTCCGCTCTCCAGCTCTGCTGGTTCCCAGTTTGCCACCCTTTAAATGTTGAGCTGTTGATCCTCTCTGGTGATACAATGCAACTCTTTGATGCCAAAAGCCCCTTCCTCCACTGAATCCACAAGTTTCAGGGATGCTGGGACTACACAGGAAAGGCAGGCAACATGTAATGAAATTACGTGGAAGAGAAAGATCCATTAGAGCAATGAGATACCCGTAAATCCTGTTAGCAGCCAAGCATTTCCATAGAAATTTCCTGATTCTAGATGCCCAGCACCTTTCCTACGCTTCCATTTCCTTAACACCATTCCTAAATCCCTACATGGCTTCATTTACAAGCCTAAACCCCAAATGTAAATTGAGGGGGGAGGATCTCGTGTCCTTGGGTTTTAGCTCTAAATTCCGTAGTTCAGGGTCTACTGGAAAGGGCAGCCTCCAGCTCTTGGACCAGGCGTCATCTCTTGGCTTTAGACTCCTCCTGCACCACTCAGTTAAAGGTGAGCTGTGTTAATATCTTCTAGTTGTGTGCTCTTTGTTGTACTTTTATTCCTTTGCTCTTTGCACCCCAGTCAGTGCAGAACAGCTTGTAAATACTTGGATTTATTCTGTCAGCCTCACATTGCTTCCCTGAAACATCAAAATATTAAAACACAAAAGCTCTCCGATTACTCATCAGCAGATCAGTGACTTTACACACAGGCAGCTTTCTCTGGAGTAAATTAAAACAACTCCTTCAAGAAATTTGGGCTGAGATGGATTGTTTCCAGATTCCCAAGACCTGTGAGGGACAACCTGCCCAATACCAGGATCCTCAGAGTGGCTGTGAAAGGTTAAGATGCACCTTGAGAAATCTTGGGTCCTGCAATTAAGTCCAAATTAATTATTCTGGATAAATTTTGTTCAATTAATGATGTTAATTGCCTGCCTGGCAAACCATTTAATGACTGGTACATAAAGATTTTGCAGTTGGGAGTGATTTTTTGGTAACAGATCCAATAGAAATCCCTGTCCAGCTTCCCAGCGTTGTTGGCTCCCCAGTGCCAGGTGCAAGGGCAGCCCTGCTTGCTTTAAGTGATTAACTTTTAAGTGATTACCAGATCCAGGGCAGTATTTACACATGTATTTTTAATGTTCTGGCTGACAACATTTCATCATTTTTAAGTTATTCAAGTAACTCAATCCTAAGCTGAATCCAGACTAGCGGAATCCAGTAAAAAAGGTGTTAGTTTTATAAAGCTGTGCACATTTTAACCAGGGAAAGCTGGGCCCAGGGTGCCTGGGACTCGCTGCATCTGAAGTGATATCACTGGAACATCACTGAAAGGCACTGCAGGAGACTCTGCTTTTCAGCTTCCCAGCCTTCTGCCAGGTCTCTGGTGGAGGATGAGGGAAGTTTACGGCAGCTTCCCAAATGGGAAAGGGAAAAAAAAAATCATTTAAACGGGGTGTTTGTGAATCAGAGGCTGAGGAAACGTTGTCATGTGAAGGAAATCCCTTTAATCTGTTAAGGACAGAAACGCTCCTGTGCCTCTGTGCTCAACAGCAACGCTGCTGCCCAGTCACAGCTCCCACGTAGTGAGGTGGAGATTCCTGGGAGATTATCCAGCCAAAGCAAACACGCTGGAGGAGTCAGGCAGGTGCTTTTGGAGGAGGAGGAGGAGGATGTTTCAAACACGCTCCTCAGCCCTCCACATGACCTGTCTGGCATCTGGCAAGGCTGAGTTAGTCCTAAGGCCAAAGGAGTAAAATGCAGGTAGAACACAGAGGTGTCTCTGCTCCATGGGGAGAAAGTACAAGACAGACAGAAAATTCCAAGGCATCATGCTCGTTTTTCATCAAACACCCATTAGTAAAATTGTTTGCTTTGCTTTTGACAAATCAGTTCAAGCCCACACACATCCTGCAGGATACATTACTCTGGGGGCTTGAGCCTTTTTCATTGCCCAAACAGCTCTGCTGCCCTGTGACTGATCATCTACCAAAGCACTCCAGTGCACATCCCTTGTGACACAATAATTCCCAATATTTACACCCTTTGTAATGCGTGGAAAATGCATTGATGCATAAGCCAGGTACAGCATAAACATCAACAGAAGTGGCTAAATTTGATTCACATTTTCTGGTGCGGTCGAGTTGCCCTCTTACAAATCTTTTTGCTGTTCTCCTGGCCTCAACAGATTTAGAATGGTATTTCAAAGACCACTGATGACACCATTCAGTAGCTGGCAAGACAAAGAATTTATGGATGGAGTTAATAAGGGGGATAAAAGCAGTCTGTGCCCCAAACCCAACATTTTCACAGTGCACGTGGGCTGGTTGTGTGAGCCAGATGCAGAGAGCTCCAGGGATGCTACGCCGCAATCCTACAACCCTAATTCTTGCGCATTTAAGGCTGTATCTGATTAGGCATTTCTGTATTTTCTGAGTATGTAATTATCTAGCACAGTACGTGCGAGTCATGGAGTAAACCCAGTTGGGAGCGGAGCACTGGGAAGGGGAGAAAAGGTCTGTACGTGGGTGGGTGGGTTTGTCCGTGTCAGTGATTGCAGCAACCGGGGAGTTCAGTGTGGAAAAAAGCCTTTCCTGGAAAGAAGCAGATGAAATCCCGGCATTGTGCTGCAAGCAGTTATCACCTCTCTGTAGACCTTGAAGGAGGTGATAAGTAGATCCCAGATCCTCGGAGGATCCTCATTAGGAAGAAATTCTTTACTCAGAAGGTGGTGAGGCCCTGGCACAGGGTGCCCAGAGCAGCTGGGGCTGCCCTGGATCATCGGCAGTGTCCAAGGCCAGGCTGGATGGGGCTTGGAGCACTGTGGGACAGTGGGAGGTGTCCCTGCCATGGCAGGGGTGGGATGGGATGAGCTTTAAGGTCCCTTCCCACCCCAACTACTCTGTGGTTCAGGTGGTCTGTGATCCAGAGCACCTCCTTGGGTACTGTAACAAGTAGGGGACAGCTGAAGAAATAGAAGTTTCAGGCTTCTCAGAGTTGAAGAATTAAGGAAATCCAAGTGTCCTTGCTGTAATGCAAGGTAAATTATTCATTCTCTCTCTCCCCCCCCCCTTTCCTCCCTCTAGTTCAGTTTTTCTTTTCATGCTTTAATCGTTTTGACACCAAGCTGTACAAAAGTAATTTAAAATTAACATGACTGACACTTGGTAGATAGCAGGACCCAGTGCAGGGCTCCACCTTCTACTGGGAACTGCGGAGAGGGGCTCTGGATTGGCTGCAGGACCTGAGGCAGCTGATGGGGACTAAGGAAAAACACGGCAAACAATTAATTTGCTAATTTAGTTTTCTGTTTAATTTGAGACCAGAAAATCGTCAGGCACTCATCAGCCCACGAGCAAGGCTGAGTGGACTCAGGGCAGGGCTGCACTCTTGGCAGCAAGGAGGGGATGTGTTTGATTAGCCCACAAAGCAATTTCTCCTGCCATACCGGTGGCATTTCACAGCGTGTTTGAGCTCTGAGGTTCTGCCGTGTGGCTTTGTGTCACCTCTCCCCCGTTTGGTGCATTTTGCACATCTGACAATTGTCTGGGAAGGAACTGTCTGAATTGTGTTCACTGGGAAGGAGGTGACGTGGACATGTGTGCTGCAGAACAGCTGGGAAAAGTTGTCACCTCAAACACACAACACTCCATCACTACCCCGGTACCGCCACACCGTGCCTCGGTCAGCCGGAATGCTGACAGGGAAAACTCTGCACACCGTGAGCGTAATGGACCTGGATCGGGACTAATGTCCTTTGATGGGGGAAGAAATGCTCTAATTTGATTTCCTCCCTTCAGCTGCCGAGTGTGTAATTTCAGATCTGCGCAGAGCAGGCCCTTTACGCTCGGGTTTGGGCCTGGTTTTGATTGATTAAATTGAATTGTATCTATTTATTTCACGCATCCAGTTCAGGATTTCACTAGTGGCTCGTCAGAGCGAGAACGTGCACATTTATGGAGAGTGGGAACTCAGCACAGCCCTCAGTTTCCTCTGCTGCCTTTGCCGGGATTTGGTGCTGTGCGGGTGAGTGGGTGTGCGAGGAACGTGTGAAATCCAGGAGCTGGTTGCCAGCAGAGGGAGCGTGGGGCAGGGCCGGGTTCAGCGGGGAGTCAGGAGCCTGGAAACGGGACCGGCTCCCGAGGAAGCATCACACAGCTCTCTGATAAAAAATCCCGAGGCTCTTGCAACATCAGCAAGATTTGTTTCCTTAATCCAAATGAAACGAGAGGTGGGATCTCGTTTGCAAATCTGGGACCTTCTTGGCCTCCCTAATTGACTCCCGGCTAAGTGATGCTCCCGGGGAAGCCCAAGTCACTAGATGGTACTGTTGCTGTTCAATATTGACGCCTCCGCGGGCCAGCTCCTCGGGAAAGTCGCGTTTCTGTCGGGAGGGAGGGACGGCTGTGTAATTTGTGAGGGAGACGTGAGCGAGGAGCCGGGGAGGAGAAGTAGGTCAGAACTGCTTCCTGGGATTGGGCTGTGGGAGGGGGAGCGGAGGGGTGGCAAAGGTTTTGTCAGGGCTGGTTTGCTTCCAGGTTTGCTGCCCAGAGGGGCACGGGGTCAGGCCCTCACATAAACTCTGTAAAAAGCTGGGTTTTGGTCAGCTTCACTCGTGGTTAAGCCCAAGCTTAACGTGGATGAGCCCTGTGTGACCACAGCTGGGGAAGTTTTGTCACTCTCTGACCTCAGGGCACACAGAGTCACCTCCTGGTGGGAGCCAACACAGCAAACCATAGAATCATAGAAAGGCTAGTTTGGCTTGGAAGGAACTAAAGCTCATCTCTTTCTGCTCCCTGCCATGGGCAGAGGCACCTTCCACTCTCTCAGGTTGCTCCAACCTGGCCTCAGACAATTCCATGGATCTCCAGCTCTCCCCTAAAAGCCAACCCACAGTGAGGGACTGGTCACACAAATTCCTGGAGCGCTCTGAAATCCCCCCAAGCTTTCTAATTACATCATTGCCTGGGTCCCATCCCTGTTAGGAGGTCACCAAGCTCTCCCTGGCGAGGGTAACAAACAGGTTATTGTGCTCTGTGCTGCAAACAAGCCCCGGCCCTCCCGGCTCCAGCCCCAGCACAGAGTGGAGGAGCTGCTGCCTGCCCGGCCTGTGCTCGGGTTTCTGTTAGAGGAGAAAGTCAGGCCAATTAAATCAGGCAGCATTGAATCTCTAATTGACATAAATGAGACAGACAGACAGCTGGGAAGACTGGGAGGAGGGGAGGGAAAGGGGAGCAGGTGCCCTGGATGAGAAAGACATGGAAATACACCCTAATAGGACCACAGCTTTCCTTATTCTGTGTGTTTACATTAGCCAGCAACATCATGGAAAGTGTCTCAGCCTTTGCTGGAGAGAAATTAGAGAAATAAATACAAGTTACAACCATTGTGGAGTTGATTAGAATGTTCCTAAAAATCTCCAAACAAACCCGAAGGAAAAAAAAAAATCACCCTCAAAAAGACGTTTGAATTTGTGTAGTTAAATTAAGAAATCTGGTTTTTCCCATGCAGTTTGAACATAAGGCCTTGCAGCTGAACAATTACAAAATAATTTAAAATCATATTTGTTTAATTTTTCACATCTGAGCAGTGCTTGCCCAGGTATTTCCCCCTCTCCTTTTACCAGGGAGTGCTCTTTTGTCTTTAACAGACCTTTCAAACACTAATTTATACAGAAATAAGTTATTTAAATTCCTGCATTTCAGAAGGATGAGGCATAAAGAGGAGGAACTCACCCAGGTCCCACCCGGCACTGCAGAAGGAACCAGAATTACCAGCCCTCACCCTGCCTCGCCCAGGGTGTGCCCTGATGGAAACAAACTGTTGGACATTTTCTCCAAGCACCTCTGCTGCTGCACAGGTGGGGAGCGAAGGTGGGAAAGCATTCCTGAGGGGATGGGGGGAATACAGTTTTGTGGTGCTGGTGAATCCTTCAGCAGCATGACAGAACAGCAATTTGGGATTATCTCTTACAAACCAACCCTATTTTAGTTTTTAAAATAATCAAGATTTGCACATTGTGGTGTAAAAACCAGAAATGTTTTTCATTTACATTTCCAGAAACTTTTGAGATCTCTTCCCGAATATTTCAACACATTCTCCTTCCCCATTTTCCCAGCTGGGATAATTTTTTGCCAGCACAGGCAATTCTTCTTGGTATCCATGGGAATTGCCTCCATAATTAGACGTGCACCCAGTGCACAGATCAGAGCGCTCCAACCCAGCAGCTGGAACTAGGAGGCAGGTCTGATTAAATCTGCTCTGCCATGAGGAGAAAAGCCAGCTTTAATGAAACATCACAGGACTCCCTACCCCGTCTTTAAACAGGGCAGGAAAAGGGACTCTGGGATTACTTTGAGAGTGGCTGCTCGTGGTGTGCTCGCAATTCACAGAGCAGAAAGCGAGCACTGAGTGATCCAGGGCCTTGAAACTGGGGATCTGCCTCATTAAAAAGGGGCTGATTGCCAGCAGCTTATTAAAGGGGCTCACAGTCTGCCTTCAGAACGGCAGAAGGTTGGAGGGGTCAGCAGGTGCAGATGCAGGTTTTCTCCTTGATAGTTTTACTCCAAGCCAGTGAGATCAGGGTCAGCTTGTAGAAGAACAGCTTTTCTGGGTTTCCTGCCCTGCCCAGCAGTGATTGTTTGTGTGGATCCACCAAAAGACACAGAGCCAGCCAACAGCTCTTTTTTTTATTGAATCCCAGAAGGGTTTGGGAGGAAAGAGACCTTAAAGCCCACTCAGTCCCACCCCTGTCATGAGCAGGGACACCTCCTACTGTCCCAGGCTGCTGCAAGCCCTGTCCAGCCTGGCCTTGGGCACCTCCAGGACGGGGCAGCCACATCTGCTCTGGACAATTTTCATGGAAAGTAAATGATTTCTATTCCTGCACACCCAGTTCTGCAGGTACAATGTGCTCTTCAGGAAAGGGAACTGGTGAAAGAGGCAGATGGTCGGATAGAAATTATTAATCCCATTCAAGTTCTTTATCTTTAGTTGCTGCTTCCACTTGGTGTCATAAACTCCATGACTCCTAGGGGCTTCCCCTTTTAAAAAACAGAGCTGGAAGTTGGGGTGGAGCAGACGTTAAAATTCTAAGTGGTTTGGTGGGTGGGAAAAAAGCGACTTTTAACAAATAGGCCCCGGCTGGGGGATCAAACAGGGCTCTGGTCTAGACAGAGCTGCACTCCCCGCCTGCCTCAGAAGTTCATACCACACCAGCTGACAGAATTTAGCATCTCGTTTCCCTAACATGATTAAAATGCTGCTCCGTGTCCTGGGGTACTGAGAGCCCCTCAGATCTCTCTGCATTCCGAGCCACGGTTCCATTTCCACTGCTGGAGTCGCTCCCTTTGGAAACGCGGCCCTGCGGACGAGCGCTGCTCACGGATCCCAGCACTGCAGGTTGCTTTAGCTGGGCTTTGAACTCAGCCCTTCCTGGAATTCTATGATTTGAATATCATTTTCACAACCCTCGCAAGCAGCAGATGAATGAGAGATTCCTGGCTTTGAGTCAAAAGCTGCGGTAATTAAATGTTTATAAAACACTTTAAGCATGCGAAGTGCTGTTATAGACAAGGAACCAACAGATCTGGCAGATTGGAGCCGGATTTTAAGGCACACCAGCAAACAGAGCCCATTTCCCCCACTTTTACATCCCTCTTTTAGAGCTGCTAGCAGAGGGTTATGGAGGCCATCACAAGGTTCCTTTTATTCTACCCAGAATAAGTGAAATCAGAATCACTTTCTTGCATATGAATATCTGTAATTCAGGAGTTTTCCCCTCAGTGAGAACTCTCCAAGCAAAGGGCCAGCTTGCTGTTCAGCTCGGGAAGGAACTACCCCGTGGGAAACAAAAATTGCTGCTACTTCTGATCTCTCACATAAAACTGGAGAGCTTCCACCTGTTACAGGTTTCTAACACCATCTGCTGTTTAAAAGGAAGATGGCATTGGAGCTCAGCAGCACCGAGAGCTTGTTTGATAAACCAGGCGCGACACCAGTGAATCTGGAACGTTTCTGTAATTGCCACAATTCCTTTTTTTTTTCTTATTTCAAGCCCTGAACATATTCTGACTTGATCTTCATTATGAAGTGAATTATTTCTTCACTAGAGGAAGCAGAATCCCAGTGAGCAGCAGCTGAATGTCAGGTCCACAACACTTCAGTTTTCATTCCCAGCCACGGGGCTGTGTCATTTCAGCACCAACACAAATTTCAAGCAGTGTCACTCTCTCCAAAGCTTGGCCCAAAGAACCGACTTAAAAATGTTTTCATAGTAGAGAGCCATGGTCTCCCTGGTGTATGAGGAGCTGAAAGCAAATCATTCTTTCTATTAAAAATAAAAATATTGACCTTCTGCTGGCCCACACTGCTGCCTGTAAGACAGAACAAACACCAACCAAGGATTCTTCTGCTGCTTCCTAATTGAAAGAGAGACAAACTTTTGTCCCAGGAAAAACAACAGAACCCAGGAGCTCATTATACATTTAAACTGAAGAGTTCACAACTACTGCTCTTAGTTTTGGTTGCAGATATTTGTAATAATTTTTTCTGAAACAAAAAGACTTTTTTCCATTCACCCTGAGACAAGCAGGGGTTTAGACAAAAACCACCCATAATCTCCAAATCTAGCACCAAGCAGAGGTCGCAGCTCTGGGATTCTTCTCCAGTCGGATCCCATCAGCCCAGCTACAACATCACCCCCCACCTCTCGCATTTCTCACCCCCTCCACATCATTTAAAGTCAGCGGCTCCTTTTGTGAGCCTCACCCCGGCACTTTCCCTGCACTTCGACAAAAGAGACCTTTTACATGTCAATTTATTTTCAGACAAGCATATCTGAAAGGGAGTTTCCCTCCGGAGTCGAATTAGTATTAATGGCAGGTGTTCAGTGGCACACAAAGGCAGGGAGGCAGCGCCTGGGCTGAGCTGAGCCACTAAGACAGCTTGATGTTTTAATAAGCAGAGGCAAGGAATGGAGTGGCAGCAGACCTGCGGCTTCCCCGGCGTGAGTGAAGGTTTTATTCAGAGCCCCCACGTACTGCCGAAAGAAGATCTTGAAATATTTTAAATGTTTTCTTTGCCTTGAAAGAGGGATTAAATTGTTGAATATTCCATGAAAGCACAGCATCCACCCCACATCCCGTGGAACTCACTCACAGTCACTGACTACTTCCGAAGCCTTGGGAAGCGGCCGTGGCCACCACGAGGAGGTGGTGGCATCCAGGAGGCCACCACGAGGAGGTGATGGCACCCAGGAGGACTCCAGCTGCCCAGCTCACCATCCACCAGTGCCTAGAGATGCTGAACAAAGATTTACACGGACTGACTCAAAGGTGGGAACTTGGAGAGGGATTTGCATGAAAGGTTAAAAAGTTAAAACCACAGATTGGTTGCTCAGTGAAGTTTCACTATGAAAAAGAAAGAGGAGATGAAAGCTGCTGGCCTTCAGTTTTAAACTGAGTTTTGATGGGAATATTTCCTAGGCCAAAAGACACTTATTGATGCCCTGGTGAATTTGACAGCAAGAGAAAGGCACAGCTACACAGTGGCAAGAAGTGAAACATCCTCTCAGCTGTGTCAGCCCCTTACAACAGAAAAATGGCTGATTTATGCTCCAAAATAGGAAAATTTAACCTGCATTATACAGAAATAGTATTATACAGAGCTGTTCAATATTATTTTCGGGCTCCTTGACTTTGGATCAATATGCTGTTTCTGCACAGGTTATTTTCAGGTAGACTCAGCAATTTGAGGCTGGATTCTGGGATTTCTGCTCCCTTGAGCTTTCATTCAGATCTACAGGACAAAAGCTTTAAGATCAAATCCACTATTAAATACCTGATCTAACAGAGGTAGTTTTCCTTGTAAAATGTCCTTATGGATGGAAGTTAAATCCATTTTTGCCCCTTTTAAAATCAAGACAATTTGTGATATCCTCTGTATCTTCTTTGTCCTGAGTTAAAGCTGAATGACCCCAAACAATGTGCATCTCACATAATTATTTTTGTGGAATTCTCCATTTTAGAGCCAACTGGTACTGAACAAAAAAAGCAAGTTTCCTTTCTTGTGACATGATCAGCCAAAAGTAGCAGAAATTCACATGAGGACCTTTGCTGGCTCCAGTCACATCCTCAAGCAATCCTGCTGCTCCCAGAAATGCCACCATGGAACCACGGAGCTCTGGCAATTCCCTGCAGGTCAGGACAGGGTGGGTATTTATTTCCAGCACAGTTTGTCTCCAAGTTTTGGTTTTTATAAGCACAGAAGTGTCCTGAGAGTAAGAAATTCCCCATTCCTGTTGGTTTTTGCCTCAGTCCAGGACTGGTTCTGGTCACCTCCCACTGAGAGAAGGTAGCGTGGAGAGGCTGCCCTAAGCAGCACTGCTGGTTTTCCCATGATCAGAAGCTGATTTTGGTCTGATCAAAAGCTTTTCAGCTTTTCCAGGAGGCAGACAAGGAGCACTGTCCCTGCATGGCACAGAGGGACAACCTGGGAAAGATGGGGAAATGACCAGGAAACGGCCGGGTCGCTGGTTCTGCAGCTCACAGTCAGTAACCCTGAATGACATGTTTATTGTATGAGCCAGAAAGAAACCCTGAGTTACCGGCCAGGCAGCAAAGTTAAATTAAAAAAAGAAAGGGTGGTTTGGTTCAGAGGTTCCTACTGAGGGGAAGGAAAACCCCAAATGGTAAAAGCAGCAGCCAGAGCCAGCCCTAAGCCTCAGCTTTGCCACGGAGGAGGTTCTGTCACCATCCCCCCCTGCACAGGTGACAAACTCCCCATGGGAGGGCACAGGGAAGGAATGAGCCAAACCTAGGAGTGTCCTGGCCTGCTGAGCATCTATGGGAGGGCTTGGAAAAAAGTGGTTTATTTTGTTCAGAGATCTGAGCTGCTGGCTGGGCAGAGAGGGAGAAACAGAGGCTCCAAAATCCACCTTACATGGAATAAACACACAGGACTTGGAGGGAAGGGGGGTCCTTCGTGGGCTGGGAGGCTGCAGGGCTGGCTTTGGGAAATGCATCCAAAGCTTTGAGGGAGGAAAAGCCCCAAAGCCTAAACCCCAAGTGTGACAGTCTTCCAGCTGCTGTGGAGTTGGAGAGGATCAGTTCCAAGAAATGCTGTAGCAACAACAAATACCTGGCCCTACACAGGGAAGGGTGAATCAGAGCTGCTTTTTAGTGCCACTTGACATCAGTTATACATTCTAGTTCTCATATACACAGATGGATTTCTTTAAAAATCGACAATTTACACATCAAAAAAGTTTTACAGTGAAGTTCTCTCAGCAAAGATCAGTCTGTACGAGGAGCCAGTCTTTCAGGAACAGGAAGGCACTTGGCCTTTTAAAAGCAAGTCCCCTGTGCAGACCCTGCCTGTCCCCTGTGCCCCTCTTCCATAGGTGTGCAAAATCCAGGCTGTTCCTGCACTGTGGAGCCTCACAGGGTGGTGGAGGGGAGCTTCTTCACCCGCCTCTGTGCCAGGATAGAGGATTCGATGGGCTTCAGCTGAGGGCTTGGCTTGGAGCTGTTCAGTGCTGAGTATGTGGCAGCCATGGCGCCCTGGAGAGAGGCAGAGGAGTCACTCAGGTGCAGGAGAGCTGCTTCAGACTCCTGGCTTTACAAGACAGGGGACCAGAGCAGACACACCCACAAACAAAGCCAGAAGCATTATTCTTATTTCTTTAAGTCCCCCTCCTGCACTGACATGCTGTTA